TATTTTCTTTTCTATTCTATTCTATTTTCTATTCTATTTTCTATTCTATTCTATTTTCTATTCTATTCTATTTTCTATTCTATACTATTTTCTATTCTATTTTCTACTCTATTCTATTTTCTATTCTATACTATTTTCTATTCTATTTTCTATTCTATTTTCTATTCTATACTATTTTCTATACTATTTTCTATTCTATTTTCTACTCTATTTTCTATTCTATTTTCTATTCTATTCTATTTTCTATTCTATTCTATTCTATTTTCTATTCTATTCTATTCTATTTTCTATTCTATTTTATTTTATATTCTATTCTAGATCCTCCCACCTCTTCCATGTCCTTGGAAACAGAATCCCACCTGGGGGTAGACAACTGCTTGGATGTCTTCTCCCCTTGGCTAAGCTGCATATCTTGCTTCCCTTAAGCCTCCAGGGTTCCCGCTCCTCTCCTCACTGCCTCCAGGAGACCCCACCCCAGGCCTAACGTCCTCCCTGCAAGCCCCCAACTCACCTTCTCTCTCTGGATCAGCTCAAAGGCAGCCAGCAGCTCCCCTGATGTCCGGCTGCCCTTCACGATAGGATACCAGGACAACCTCGGCGTGTAGTCAAGGGTGGGCTTGCAAACGCAGCGGCCCAGGAATTCATCTGCACCCTAATCAGAGGGAGGGAGAGGGGGGAATTTTAATCCTCTGCCATTTTAAACTGGTTCTTTTTTTAATGTTTGCAATTGTTTTTACATCTGTCTATGTTTTTATTACATTGTAAGCCGCCCAGATGTGTGGTTTAGAATTGTGAGATGGTGGCAGAAAAAATTAATAAATGGAAGGAGGGAGGGAGGGAGGGAGGGAGAGAGAGAGAGAGAGAGAGAGAGAGAAAGAAAGAAAGAAAGAAGGAAGGAAACAGAAAAAGAAAAAGAAAAAGAAAAAGAAAGGAAGATGGAAGGAAGGAGGGAAAAAAGGAATGAAAGAAAAAGTGAGAAAGAGAAAGACAAAGAGAGAAAGAAAAAGGAAGGAAGGAAGGAAAGAAAGAAAGAAAAAGTGAGAAAGAGAAAGAAAGAGGAAGGAAGGAAGAAAGAAAAAAGGAAGGAAGGAAAGAAAAAAGAGGATGGAAGGAAGAAAAAAAAGGAAAGAGAGCAAGAAAACAAAGAAAGAAATAAGGAAGGAAGGAAGGAAGGAAGGAAGGAAGGTAGGAAGGAAGGAAAGAGAAAGAAAAAGAGAGAAAGAGAAAGAGAAAGAAAGAGAGAGAAAGGAAGGAAGGAAAGAAAGAAAAAAAGGAAGGAAGGCAAGAAAGAGAGAGAGAGGAAGAGAGAAAGAGATCATCATTGTATTCCTAATGCACGCCCACAATTTCTGTCTTGACAAAAACTGGGCTGAGGCCTCCTGCTCGGCCAGGGCCTTTTTGCCCTTGGCACCCTTACGTAGGTGTCGTGATCGTAGATTTCAATCACAATGTTGGGAGGGGATTCAGCAACGTTTTGTGGAGCCCCAAAGATCTCAATCTCGTAGAAGATCAGCGTTTGGTCCCAGGTGGGGTTCAGCGTGTTCTTTGCTACCACCGTCTTTTGGCTCTGGTGTAGGAAGGAGACGATGGCGTAGGGATCTGTGAAGGACAAGAGAAGGAGGCGGATCAGAGGGTTCCCCGCTTCTGCGGTGCCCGGGAAACACGACGGAGAACGATCTGCAGCAGAGGAAGAGCCCTGGGCTTTGAGGAGGTCCACAGGCAGCCCTCAACTGACAAGGCTGTCTCAGGGGTGCGTTTTCAAGAGGCAACTGGACTTTCATCTTCTTTGAAGACATTTCCCTTCTCATCCCAGAAGCTTCTTCAGTTCTGACTGAATAGTGGTGAAGGATAGAGGGGGAAGGATACAACATCATTTATCTCCTGTCTACAACACGGTCCTTTCAGCAGTTCCAGGAAGGCTCCACACCCATTTGCACCACTCAGGTGGCCCTGAAGATACAGAGAGGCCTCCAGGTGGCCTCAACGACTTGCTAAAAGGATGCAAACGACCAGCTGTCTGCAAGGAGTATAAATCCTTCCATTCCCCCATCATCTGGTCAGAACTGAAGAAGCTTCTGGGATGAGAAGCGAAACGTCTTCAAAGAAAAAACCCCAAAAAGTCCAGTTGCCTGGAGGATGGAGAATCCCCATAGACATTCAACTTATAAGAGTTTACTTTAGTGACCATTCAAAGTTATGTCGGCACTGGGGAAAAAAGGAACTCCGGACTGTTTTCACATGTACAACTGTTGCAGCATCCCTGGGGTCCCATGATCAAAATTCAGATGCTTGAGGGGCTGACTCACATTTAGGACCATTGTAGAAGTTGGCAGAAGATCAGACATCTTGCCTAGCTTTGAAAGGTGCTTGGAACTAGTGCTGGAGCAACCTGTCCATGCCTTCCATCTCCACCTTCTGCCCCATCATCCTGCGCCTTGTCTGCCCCGCTTGAACCCCGAGCTACATCATCACTCCTGTTGCCTTCTTGGTGAGTCATGACCGGGGACGGGATTCAAAAATCCCAACAACCGGTCCGCTGCCTGGTTGCTGGGTGGTGTGGACATGTGGGGGGGAGGGGGCTACCGAAACTTCCTGTTTCCGGCTTCTAGTGGGCCTTCAGAGCCCGGGGTAGGCTGTTTTCACCCTCCCAGGGGTCCAGAGGCCTCCAACCCTGTTTTCTGCCTTCCTGGGCCTCAGGGAAGCCTCCTGGGCAAAGCCGTTAGACAGCGAGGGGAATCCCGGCACAGCTGATTGTAGGAACAGCTGATTGTCAGGAGGGGGAAAAAAAGAAATACCTTAAGGAGTAACTGGGCGGGGCAAGTGTCAGGTGGGGTGAGGTGAGTGAGAATCGGGCGGGTGGGGCAAGCGAGTGACCAGCGACCAGGTCAGGGACATGGCCAGCCAGAAGTTACTACCGGTTCAGCAACCCATGTCAAATCCTTGCTACCAGGTCACCCAAACCGGTGCGAACCGGCTGAATGCCACCACTGCCCAAATCCCACTCTTGGCTCACCCCACCCTGTCCCTCCCAGGAGTCCCCACGAGGCCCGTTTTGGATGCAGGTAAGGGCAGGGCATGAGCAGAGGCTCGGGGAGGGCAAAAAGACAGGCCTCCCGGAAGTTCAGGAAGGCTGGAAATATAGGCCCGTTTCTGGCTTCCAGAGAGCCTCCGGAGCCCGGGGAGGACGTTTTCGTCCTCCCGGAGGCTCGAGGAAAGCCTCCGAAGCCTGGGAAGGGCGAAAATGCACCCCACCCCACCCCGGCCGTATTGCAGGAGGCCGACTAGGCCACACCTACCATGGCCACACCCTCCCAGCAACCGGGCAGAGAACCCATTGCTAAAATTTTTGATGCCTACCCCGATTATATTCCTATTATTCTATGTCACCTTCAGATGTAATCTCCAGAGGGTTTGAAACCCTCTTCTCTCACTGCCCGTTCTTGAATGCTGGGCCCTGAACGTGGAGCTTCTTCCCGCTCCCCACAACTGTCTTTGCGGGCCTTCCTAATGTAGGCCTGGAACCACCTGTGCTCAGAATCAATCAGAATAGAGCCGGAAGGGACCTTGGAGATCTTCTAGTCCGACCCCCTGCTCAAGCAGGAGACCCTGTACAATTCCAGACAAGTTTGGCTGTCCAGTCTTTTCTTAAAAACCTCCAGTGATGAAGCACCCACCACTTCTGGTGTTAAGTAGTTCCACGGGTTAATTGTCCTCACGGTTAGGAAGTTTCTCCTTCGTTCCAGGTTGCTTCCTGTTTTCAGGTGCTTTGGAGAATAACTTGACCTCCCCCACCCCCCACTCCTCTGTGGCAGCCCCTCAAATACTGGAAGGCTGCTGTCATGTCTCCCCTAAAAGTCCTTCTTTTCTCTAGACAGGCCAAACCCAAATCCTGCAGCTGTTCTTCCTATGTTTTAGTCTCTAGGCCTTTGATCCCCTTAGTTGCTCTTCTCTGCACTTTTGTCCAAAGCCAAAACATCTTTTTTTTCCCCTTTAATAATGTGGGAAACCAAAACTGGATGCAGGGTTCCAGGTGTAGCCTTACTAAAGCTTTACAAAGCAGTGACTTAAGCCTTCACGTGATCCGCCCTGATGGAAAGAGGCATCGTAGCTGTGGCTGGATATTCTTTCTTCCATCCTGAGTCAGAGGAACACCGACTGGGCCGCCGTCCGCCCGGTTTTCGAAACCCTTTCAAAAGACCCCTTTGTCTCCGCTTCGCATCCATAACCAGGTTTCCTTTTTATGACCCTGAAAAAGGGGCTCCTTTATGCTTTGTTCCACCAACAGCAAATCACAATTCCATCTTGTCTACATCTGGGCTGGCTGTTGTCATTGGCTGCCATCCATGCAAAGAAAGTTACTCCCACTCAGTCCAGCCAATCAGACAGGATGAGGTCATCCCTTTTTGGAGAGAGACTCTGAGTTCAAGGCAACAAACAAGCTCATAAACACACACGCACGCACACACACATGCATACACGTGTGTGTGTGTGTGTGTGCGTGAGCGTGCAGGAGGAAGAAGAGATTTGCTGGGGGAAAAGAGGAGATCCCTCTGGATTTGGAGTAGGTGGTGATCGCTAGATTCCTCTTTAGGAACCGTGGACAGAATAGTTTTCTCCATCAAAGCCACCTCTGAGCCACAGGAACACTTCAGCTTCAACCATAACAACACAAGAGCACGCAATAGATACAAACTCAAGGTTAACCGCACCAAACTTGATTGCAGGAAATACGACTTCAGCAACAGAGGGGTCAGTGTCTGGAATCCTCTACCTGTGGTTTTTTTTCCCTAAACCCCAAAAACTTTAACCTAACTGTCTACTATTGACCTCACCCCTTTCCTAAGAGGCCTGTAGGGGGGCGTGCATAAGCGCACCAATGTGCCTACTGTCCCTGTCCTATTGTTTCTTTTATTTTTCTTATAGGTATCCTTTTGATATATTCATAACTATGTTTATACTTATACCTATTATCTTGTAAGTGATTGACAAATAAATAAATAAATAAATAAATAAATAAATAAATCTGTGGGTTCATTCTGGAAGGGCAAAGATTGGGGGGTGGTGAATGGCACACACTGGACTAGCCTCACCGAGTTTCACGTTCCAGTGGAAAAAAGGGGAGTTAGGTCAAAATTGTCAACAACAACAACAAAAAGGAATATTGGCCTTTTCATCTCATCATCCAGATAGCTGGTCCTGAAAATCTGGTTCCACTCAAGAGTTTGAGATGAATTTCTAAATTAGATCCAATGAAGAAAAAGATTTGAAGCTCTGGGTTGATATGAGGGGTCTTTGGCGCCCTCTGAGCTTGGTGGTTTTCTTGCAGGTGTCTCATGACCCAACTAGGGAACGTCATCAGTACTACAAGGGAGGAGGAGGAAGAGGAGGAAGAGGAAGACTGTAGGGTCCTCGGTGCTCACTGAGCCTGGTGGTTTCCTTGCAGACGTTTCAAGACCAAACTAGGGAACATCATCAGTGCTAGAAGGAAGTGGGATATGAAGAGAGGTGAGGGGGAAGGCTGTGGGGGCTTTGGTGCTCTCTGAGCTTGGTGGTTTTTTTGCAGATGACTCAACTAGGGAACCTCATCAGTGCTAAAAGGGAGGAGGAGGAGGAGGAGGAGGAGGAGGAGGAGGAGGAGGAGGAGGAGGACTGTAGGGTCCTTGGTCCTCTGTAAGCTTGGTAGTTTTCTTGCAGATGTTTCATGACCCAACTAGGTAACATCTTACCTGAAAAACTGTCTTTATCCATGGCCAGTAAATCCCTTGCCTGGTAGATGTAGCAACGTAGATGGTAACGATTTCCATCTTTAAGGAGAGAAAAGGAGGCGGTGAACACCACAACAAAAGCAACAACACAACAAAAGCAACAACACTGAATTGAACATCTTAAAATGAAAGGTCTAGAGAAGGTCCTCCAAGCATGGCCGTTTTAAGACTTCTGGACTTCAACTCCCAGAATTCCTCAGCCAGCTATGCATAGTGAGGAATTCTGGGAGTTGAAGTCCACAAGTCTTAACATGGCCACGTTTGGAGGCCTCTGGTCTAACACCGTCCTGTGACCCTTATCAGTGCATGTTGTTGTTAATACTATTTTATAGTTTCCTTCTTCTTTCAATATCTCTGCGACGCACTCGGAATGTCCCAATTCTAGGGCAGATCAAGAATAATGAATTAAAACTCTCCCCAATGTGACAAGACGGGATGGAATGGGATCAGAGGTGGTGTTCAGCCAGTTCTGACCAGTTCTGGAGAACCGGTAGTGGAAATGTTGAATTCCAGGTTGCTTCCCTCTTTAATTACTTTCCATCTTTTGCTTCTTGTCCTGCCTTCACAGCCCGTCAAATATTGGAAGGCTGCTTGTCATGGCTCGGAACATTTTCAGCATCCCTGCTTCCAAGTCAGTGCCCATCTTGCGGCATGCGCTGACCCACAGATTCCCTTTTTCTCCCCCCCCCCCCGCCCCCAAGAAGATACTTACAGTCAAAGATGCAGGAAATGGTGGGTCGGTTTACTCCAAAGTTGAGGGTCGACACTGATTTGCCATCGTCGCTCTTGTCGTCTGTCACTCCGCCCTAAAGGAGAAGTCGGTTTCGTTTTGCCACAGGGAGAGCATGCATCCCAACACACACACACACACACAGACACACAGACACTTTTCTGCAGCAAGAGAGCTTTTCAATGCACGGTGGTGTTTTTTTGTCTATATTTGTTTGGCTTTTGTACAATTAGTCCTCAATATAAAGACCATAATGGAACCCAAAATTTCTGTTGCTTCTGTTGTTAGGAAGCATCTCCCTAGTTCCAGGTAGCTTCTTTCCTTGACTGGTTTCCATCCGCTTGTCTTGCCTTCTGGGTGTTTTGGCAAAAGTTGACTCCCTCTTCTTTGGGCCACCCTCTCGAGGAATAGAAGATAGTTATCCTGACTCCTCCACCCTAATTTTTCTGGGAGTTTTAACCCGTTGTAGGCTAGAAGAATCATGAAATAATAGGGTAGGAAGGGACTTTGGAAGTCTTCCATGGTAGCCCAGCCCATCTCCTCAAACAGGAATCCAATAACATTTCAGAAAAATGGCTGTCCAGTCTCTTCTTGAAAAACCTCCAGGGATGGAGCATCTCCGAGCCATTCCACTGGTCAATTGTCCTAATTGTTAGGTAGTTTCTCCTTCATTCCAGGTTGCTTCTCTCCTTGGTGAGTTTCCGTCCATTACTTCTTGTCCTGCCTTCAGATGCTTCGGAGAATAGTTTGACTCCTTCCTCTTCTCTGTGGCATAAATCGAAGTCCACAAGTGTTAACATTTCCAAAGTTGGAGGCCCCTCCAGTAGAACACCCAAGGTCAACTGGATCTGAAGTTTTGAGCTGGCTCTGTGTTGCCCTGATGGACATAAGCTCTGCTTCGTTTATCCATCAAAGCCAACTGGATTTACATCACACCTGAAGCCATAAGCAACTCTTGTTTGCAATCTAAGGGGGTTGGCTGAGGAATTTGGGGACAATCCCTTCTGGAAACTGGAATTTTTTTCCCCCCATATTCTCAGAAAGGATTCTCTAATTGGGCTTTCTTGGTTGTTTTTTTCCTTGAAGAGGTTTCGCTTCTCATCCAAGAAGCTTCTTCAGTTCTGGGTTAAGGTTAGGCAACCAGGAGACCTGGAGGACTGAGAATCTCCATAGACTTTCTGGGTTGTTTTCCTTGAAAAAGTCATTTCCTTGAAAATGTCCTAAAAGGGGTCAAAACTAACTTAACTGCCTCACTTAGTGAAGAGGAAACATGGGCTCAATTGTAGTCGTAAGTTGAGGAACACCCTTCCTTGGGGGGGGGAAGGAAGGAGGGCTGGGAGAGGAACCCCATATAACAGTGGTCGCCAACCAGTGGGCCGGGGATCACCGGTGGTCCTCAAGAAATTTCTGATGGTCTGCAGAGAAATATCCCCCCCAAAGCAATTAATCCAGGCTGCGCAGGAACACAAGGCTGCACCGTCCACATGGCCCATCCACCCGCTGGCCCCGAGTGCAAACCTTACCTTGAGTAGAGTCATGTGAGCTGGAACTGGAAGGTGAATGGCGGGAGAAGGAAATCCGACCCGAGGTGGCTTGCTGGCGTCGGTGGGAAAGTCGGTCCCATATTCCAGAGCTGCAGGAGTCACAGCACTGGTCCTTTGGTCATCCCGGAGCAGCTCCTCCAGTCCATGGCAGGCCGGTGCACCCGGGTGGTGGAGCAGCTGCTCCGGGATGACCAAAGGGCCAGTCCTGTGACTCCTGCAGCTCTGGAATATGGGACCGACTTTCCCACCCACGTCGGCAAGCCGCCGTCAGTCAAAATTGATATTAGTGGTCCGCGGGATTTGAAATGATGAGTTTGGTGGTCCCTGAGGTCCAAAAGGTTGGCGACCCCTATTCTAGAGTACCTACCAGGGCACCTTCCAAGGCAAAGACAGCGGCTGGGCCTGTTTGCTCCAGGGGCTCCATCCGACGTCTCCAGCGCCGACGGCGAAAGGAATCCGTTTTGCGGTACTTCATGTGGAAGCTCCAGCCAAAAAGGGAAGCATATTCCCAGCCTTCCCCTTCCAACTCCTCCTGCTTATACTGGAGGGAAGAAGATTTGGTTTCAGTAACAGCAGGTAACCTAGTAGAGAAGACTTAATAGAATAACAGCAGGGGTGGGATTCTGCCGGTTCGGACCAGTTCGGGTGAACCCCTTGCACACGATCACTGACCGGTGGTTATACTGGCAGCCTCCCACCCCTGAATAACAGACTTGGAAGGGACCTTGGAGATCAACTAGTCCAACCCCCTGGCCAGGCAGGAGACCTGGCCTATACCATTTCAGAACAGATGCTAGCCCAATCTCTTCTTGAAAACCTCCAGTGTTGGAGTATCCATCTGTTAGGGATACACCCTAGCAGAATCTGCACGGCAGTCAGGCAGGCAGGCAAAATATGTGAGATGGACGTTTTTGTAGCTTACACTCAGTGAAACAGATACACTGTGCTAGTTAAATAGTTTATTCCAGCAAGAGTTTTAGCATAGTCAAAACAGTCCATATATCATTCACTAATTCAGTCCATCCAGGGATTATTCAGTTGCAAATTCCAGTGTCAAAAAAAGAGGTCAGTAAACTTACAAATATCAGTCCAGTAATATATCTCCTTGCAGTAGAGATATGAAGAAGTCAAACCTCCTTTCTTCCTTCGACATTCAAAAAACTCAGCAGTAGGGAACACGCAGTTAGCAAACCATCAATCCATCAAACCAGTCAGCAATCGTCAGCAATCCAGCAGGTTCTCTTGCTCCCTCTTATGGCGGTTCACAACCGCACCCAAAATTACATGCTTTGCAGTTTAAAGTGACACACACTTAAACTTACTACCATAGTTTATATATATTATTTTACCCAAACTACGTATTCCTAACATCCATGATTTCTGAGGACAAGCCATTCCACTGGTTAATTGTCCTCCCTGTCAAGAAATTTCTCCTTAATTCCAGGTTGCTTCTTTCCTTGATCAGTTTCCATCTGTTGCTGCTTCTCCTGCCTTCAGGTGCTTTGGAGAATAAGTTAACCCCCTCCTCTCTGTGGCAGTCCCTCAAGTACTGGAAGACTGCTCTCGTGTCACCTCTACTCCACGTCAACTAAAAAAAATATTCCTTTGGTCTTTTTAGTTGCCAGCAGAAAGGGAGTGCGGGGAAAGCAGTGCATTCCTTAAATGCCTCAGATAATCGCCTTGGCAGCCCAAAGCTGTCGGCGCGCAAGAATATTACTGGAGAGCACGATTGAGGACTCTTGGCTATGGATGTGTCCCATTGGAGAATATACATCCGAGGGTGAGAGGGGGAAGACCAGGGTCAAGGGGGAAATGAACGATGTACTTTAGTGTCGGCTGCACCCAGCTAATGCCGACATGGTCACTCCTAATAATTTATTTATTTATTTTAGTCTGAGAGATGCGGCTAGAGACTTATAATTTGAATGGGGGTGGATTTGTCACTCCTTCTTTTCCAAACTTTTATAGAATACAGAGTGATAAGAGTTAGAAAGGACCTTGGAGGTCTTCTAGTCCAACCCGCTGCTTAGGAAGGAAACCCTAGAGCACTGGTTCTCAACCTAGTCATCACGGACCCCCTTTAAGTACCTTTGGTGGTCGCGAACTCCCAAGGCCTAACTCAAGATTTAAATCACAACATTTCTTCAAGCTTTTGTGGATCCCTGTGATGACATCACGATATCCCACCCGGAGCCTGCTGACCACAGGTTGAGAACCACTGGTCTGTATCCTTCTGGACAAATGGTTGTCCCGTTTTTTTTCTTAAAATCCTCCAGTGATAGAGCACCCACAACTTCTGGAGGCAGGTCGTTCCACCGATTAATAGTCCTCACTGTCATTTATGGAGAGTGTCCATCATCCAGGTCACGGTTATTCCCAAAAATGTTTTTTTTTCCCCAAAAGGCAACTGGATTTTCTTTCTTTGTTTGTTTTCTTCTCATCTGAACTGAAGAAGCTTTTTCGATGAGAAGTGAAACGTTTTCAAGGAAAAACAAAGTCCAAAGTTGCCGTTTTGGAAAAGCACCTTTGGGACATCCGTGCCCTGGATGACCAAGAACCTCCAAAGACATTTCCACACACATACACACCAAGGTTCATTGGCTTCATGTATTCTCAGCCCAACCTGTGTTAGGACAAGGAAGGAAACCTTGACCCCAGGGCCGCCAAAGGCACACTGGAGTCCTGGGTTGGAGATCAGATGAAGGCATATGGGAGAAAAACAGATTTAAGCCACAATTACAGCACGTGAGCAAAATGCTTCCAGTCCTGCTAATCTTGCAGTTAGATTGGTCTTGCAATTAGATTTATTAATTTATGGAACCCAACATTCCGCACATCTCTGATCCTATCCAGGCATGGATGTCTTTTTGGTCTCATTATTTAGGAACTCCAAGTGCATCAGCCTGTTTATAGCCTGCTCTATTTATTTATTTTTTAAATAAAGTTTTATTTGGGTTTTCACACATACAAAATACAAGTAAAACACCTTTTTTGAAAATAGCATGGTCCCGGGTTGAACTTCTTTATACAGAAACAAAACTCAATTTCACGCTCCTTTTTGTGTTCTATTCCACATCTTATACTATTTTACATTTTCTATATAGTTTTTTCCCTCTTTTAATTTTCTCAATTTTATTTTGATTATCTCATCTCAATTCAAATCATTATATTTATACTTTTGTCTGTTCTGTTTCAATTTCATATTATCTTTTCTCATTAAACAAATTTTCTCCTGTAGTTACTAATTGGAGTATGACACCTTTATATCTTTTAATTACATCCATTCAACTCTTATTTAAACTTCAATATATGCCTTAAGTTTATGACCTTCAATATAATAACATAATGCATAACTTCCAATCGAATTCCAATCGAAAACTTCCAATTCCATTCTTATAATACACACTATATTCTTTTTAAAAAAGAAAGATTGTAAATATATGTAATTATAAACCCTCATTCCATTCCAGTTCAGTTCTATCATTAATAATCATTAAAATCTTAACATCTTTAACACTTCTTTTCAATTAAATATCATACTTCCTTAAAAACACATAATCTCCATAATTAATTTTTCCCTTATTTCTCTTCACATATGTTTTATAAATCATTAAATATACCTTTTGTTACATTGATTTATTGACAAGCATTCCACTGAATTACGATAGCTATTTTATCAGACATTTTAATCATACATTGTTTCATATTTTCTAAAATTATTTCTGCTTCTAATATAACCATACTATCTTATGTACCTTTGCAGAATCCCTTTTTCCATTAAGTTTTCACCCATTATCTCTAAATAGGCCCTGTTTCTCTATATTTTGCTTCTGTCCTTTATAACTTCTTTTCCTTTCTTTCTTCCCTCTCATCTTCTCCCTCCCCCTTTTACCCCCTTGTCTCTCTAGTTCTAATTCTCTCTTCTGCATTTCCCTCTTCTGTTGCTTTCTGGTTTTATACTTATTTTTCACTCTATTTTTTGGGGGGGGGGTTGTTTTCCCAATCTTAAACTTTCCATTCTCTTTCCCCGCTTTCCTTTTTTTCCCCCATCTAAGATTACTTGTTCATTAAAGATGGCTTCTTCTTTGTCGCAATCTTCTTGTTCTGCAGGCATTTCTTGTTGTTTCTCATAATTCCAAATCTCCATTTCTAACAACTGAAATACAAAGCCAAAAGAACCTCTCCCTTCTTGTGCATCTTCTTTGTACTTTTTAAGTTCCATTTTCAGTTCTTCTGAAAGTGGAGCCATTTTAAACAGTTTTAAACAACCACCCGATTGATTTTAGTCATTCAAAACAATAACCAAGAATCCAGCCTGCTCTATTTTTAAGGCAACCAATTCATTGCCATGTTTTAAACATTTATTTTAAATCCACAGTTTTGGCCGGCATTGTGAATAACTTCTTTAATCCCAGGAAAAGCATGTGAAACATTTCCTATATTTTCCACGATGGGCATGTGGAAAATTCTTTGTCCACATTCTAGCATTTTTTAATACATGTGGCAACAGCTAAGCTCCCAATCCAGGGTACCATCTAGTGGGAATAATCCCACATCAACCGCATGGAAATTTAACAGAGGGATACAATCCAGATCAAGGGAGGTACTAATACCACTCTATAAAGCCTTAGCAAGACCACACCTAGAGTACTACATCCAGTTTTGGTCATCACACTATAAAAAAGATGTTGAGACTCTGGGAAAAGTACAGAAAAGAGAAAGAGTGCAGAGAAGAGCAACCAGGATGATTAGGGGACTGGAGACTAAAACATACGAAGAACAGTTACAGGAACTGGGCTTGGCTAGTCTAATGAAGAGAAGGACCAGGGGAGACAGGATAGCAGTCTTCCAATACTTGAAGGGCTGCCACAGAGAGGAAAGGGTTAAGCTATTTTCCAAGGCACCCAAAGGCCAGACAAGGAATAATGGATGGAAACTGAACAAGGAGAGATTCAACCTGGAAATAAGGAGGAGGAATTTTCTGACAGTGAGAACAATCAACCCGTGGAACAGAAGTTGCCCTTGGAAGTTGTGGGAGCGCCATCGCTTGAGACTTTCAAGAAAAGATTGGACTCCCATCTGTCAGAAATGGCGTAGGGTCTCCTGCTTGGGTAGGGGGTTGGACTAGATGACCTACAAGATCCCTTCCAACTCTGATAATCTGTTATCTGAAATAAACAGCAGGCATTCTCAGCACAAGAAAATAGTGAATTGCCCTTTAAATCAAGTGTGAGCATTGGGGAGGCCCAGCGGGGACCTGGGGCCTCCTGATCGTCTCCTCGGGGAGCCAGCCTGGTTAAGGGTGGGATTCCACCGGTATAACCACCGGTTTGGGGATCGCGCGCTCCGCATTTTAAAAAGGCAAGCCCATACTTCAACTGCAGCCTATGTGAAGAAAACAGCTGAGGCGCGGCAAACCGCTCTGCCCAATCAGCTGCGCTCTAAACAAAGGCATAAAGCACAGGAAATAGCAGGGGTGGGAGGGCAGGCCGGCCCACTTTCTCGTCACAATGGACTGGTTCAGACTGAGCGGAACTTTGGAACAAGGGGTTTGCCCAAACTGGTCCAAACCGGGAGAATCCCACCACCCCCCACCACCCCGAGCCTGGTCTATACTGATGTAAGAGAATATTTGTAGCTCAGAGTTGAAATGAAGGGTCCTTGGTGCTCTCTGAGCTGAGTTGGCTTTTTTGCAGACATTTCATGATCCAACTAGGTTACATCATCAGTGGTAAAAGGGAGGAGGAATGCGGAGAGGAGGAAGGGGAGGAAGGGGAAGGGGAGGAGGAGGAGTGTGGGTCTTTGGTGGTCTCTGAGCTTGGTGGTTCCCTTGCAGACATTTCATTCCCAAACTAGGTAACATCATCAATGCTAGAAGGGAGTAGGGTTTATTGAGAGGGAGATGAGGAAGAGTAGAAGAAGAAGAGGAGGAGGAAGTAGAGGTAGAAGAGGCAGAGGAGGCAGAGGAGGAGGAGGAGGAGGAGGAGGAGGAGATGACAACTATGGGGTCCTTGATGTTCTCTGAGTTTGGTGGTTTGCTTGTAAATGTTTCATTACCCAACTAGATAACATCATCAATGCTAGAAGGGAGTAGGGTTTATTGAGAGGGAGATGAGGAAGAGTAGAAGAAGAGGAAGAGGAAGAAGAGGAGGAGGAAGTAGAGGTAGAAGAGGCAGAGGGGGAGGAGGGGGAGGAGATGACAACTATGGGGTCCTTGATGTTCTCTGAGTTTGGTGGTTTGCTTGTAAATGTTTCATTACCCAACTAGGTAACATCATCAGTGCATCAAGATCAGAGACTCTCAAGGATTCCACAGCCTGGTCTATAGAAATACAGGCAGAAAGTTTTCTGTTCAAGTTGAACTGAGGCCCAACAAGGCAAGCTTCTCTTGGAGGTCTGGCTGTGACTGAAGCCATCTCCCACAGAATCTCTGGTCAGCAGGTTCTGACGGGTTCTGGAGAACCGGAAGCGGAAATTTGGAATTGTTCGGAGAACCAACATATCCCACCTCTGACTGGCCCCGCCAACCCCCATCTCTTCTCTGCCTCCCATTCAGTCCCAGCTGATCGGCTGGGTCTTCTTCGGTTTCCCTGCCCAGGAGAAGGGAGCTGGAAAGCAGGTTAGTGGAGTGGGGAGGGAAGGGGGATCTTGCAGTATATTCTTCCCCTGCCACGCCCACCAAGCCACGCCCACAGAACCAGTAGTAAAAAAAAAATGTGAATTCTACCACTGGAATCACCCACATCAGCAGGCATCTGTTTTCGCCAACCTTAGACAAATCCAGCCCAAACAGCTTATAGGAAGAAGAACACGACTCACCGCTTCCTCAAGGAACAACAAATAAATGTAAACAGAGCATAGGCCTTGTGCAATTATTTCAAGCCCAGTTAAAGGAGAGGTGATTGCATCCAGTTCAGCTTTCAAATATCATCAGGTCATGGACCCCTCCCCCCCACATGGAACACAAATCTGGTGAGCCTCTGGTCTCAAGTCAACATGAGTCACCTCTCACTTGATACTGGACCGCCATATTGTCCTCCAAACCGGATGTGATGATCGACGGATCAAAAGAGTTGGCAAAGCCACTCTGTACAATCTTCAAGGACAGCTTGTTCTAAACCCTTCTAGAGGAAACCGAAGGCATGACCTTGAGTGAGGTTCCACCACAGGATCGTGGGTGAGGATCTCCCTCTGGGAGATCC